CAGAAAAGTTTCAATTTCCCCTGTTTCCCCTGTGCTGGTGAAAAACTCCTCTCATTGACAAGTTTATTTACAGTGGATAGCAAAAGTATTCACCCCCCWTTTGTTGCCTTACAACCTGAAATTTTAAATAATTTTTAATTTGATTGCTAATAACGGGCCTTAAGGTGTCAAATGAGGGAACAAAAGTTGAATTTGTTAAATAATTCAATTTTAAAATGATCTAAACCTATTGTAGACCCCAAATTCAACCCCTATGAGGCGTATGAAGACCAAGGAACTCTCTACACAGGTCAGAGACAGTCTGCAATGAAAAATAAAGCTTGACTCATTTGTTTCACTCTCCTGTTTTCAAAGTTCTGTAAATTCTGCACAAGATCACTCTACTTGCTTTTACTTTCTTTTGTTTTTATTCTCCTTTTTTATTGTTAAACAACAGTAAAACACAAATATAATTATTACACATGTTTTATGGTACCTTATACTGTTTGCGTAGCGTTTTCATTCTTATCACAGTGTTTTTCAACCCTGGTCCTCAAGGCACACTGCTTCAACACAGCTGATTTCAATTGACAACTGATTCAGATTCACAGACTTTTGTTGAACTGCAGTCATCTGAATCAGGTGTGTTAAAGCAGGGAAACATCTAAAACACGTAGGGCAGTGTGCCTTGAGGACCAGGGTTGGGAAACACTGATCTATGACATCTTGTGTTGTGTTGCTGCCTCTCGACCAGATTGTCATTGTACTTAGCTGTTGAAGAAAAGGTAAAAAGAAAAAAAAAAGCTGTGGAAAAGCATGGATCAGCATAGGGCAGAGGGTGGGCAATCCTGGTCCTCGAGGGCCGCAGCCCTGCATGTTTCACTTGATTCCCAGTTTCCAACACACCTGACTCAATCATTGAATTACTTCTTCCAAGTTCTGCAGAAACCATAATCACCCATTCATCCAAATCAGGTGTGTTGGAGCAGAGAAACAAGTCAAACATGAATCCTAAAAACATTCAGCTGCAGCAGCATTTGGTTTCGTGAGAAACAGTTAAATGTTCTGTAATGGTCCAGTCAAAACCCGAACCTCTAGTTTGGTTTCAAGACGGTTTGGAAACAAGCAGCACCCAACCAACCTGAGGGAGCTGGAGTTGTTTGGTCATGAAGAATGAACAAACATTTAAGTATAGATGGACCAAGATGATGGAGATGRTGCTGTAACTGAAGACATGACTTTATGAAGGATTAACTGAGGAGTCAAACAACAAGTACTGTTATTTAAACTGACGGTAAAACAGGTTTTATCCATTAAACATAACCATGCAAATCCATTACTCACAATAATTAAAAACAAATCACATTAATTCTTAGTTGTAAGTCTACAAAATAGAAAAAATATCAACACACTGTTTATTAGTTTTGTTTTTGAAATAATAAATGACTATTATGTAAAAGTAACATTTCCCGTCTTGATCTGCTTCAAAAAGTTCTTTCCTTCTTTCTTTCTTTCTTTCTTTCTTTCTTTCTTTCTTTCTTTCTTTCTTTCTTTCTTTCTTTCTTTCTTTCTTTCTTTCTTTTCTGAACTGATAACTTCTGCCACAATGGAACTAAATTGCACAGAAAAAGGTTTTGTGTTTCTATCGCAGTTTCAGTAGCTCCCCAGTCAGTATTAAAGAAAAATAAAATGGTGTGCTGGAGACGGGGAAAACCTTTATTGTTTGCAGGTGCGGAGTCTTTTATTGATGTGCATTACCACTCGTACAAAATCTTATTAGTATTTTTCCCACAAGAACCACTTGAACAGACACGTCGTGTAGCAGGACTTTCTATTTTAATCCAAAAAGCATCTAAATCAGGTTACATCTCATTGAAAAACTAAACAACTTTCATTTCCCACTATGAGCAGCCTAATGTTTCATATCCTGGTGAGATAATGTTCCAATATTAATGCAAAAGTCCTCAGTTTTTGAGCTTAACTCTAAACCTAAACCTGTGTCTGTTTTAGCAAAATATCTCATAAACCCTGGATCCATTTCAATGAAATGCTGACAAAGTAATCATTGGATATACAGCTACAACAAATTAATTTAACTTTAATTTAATTTAATTTAAATTTAATCTTAGCTAGCTAACCCTAACGACACAAAATTAGTTTTAACAGAGTCAAATTTACTGTGACRGATGTGGCTGAGAGTCATTCTTGAGACGTGTGCTACTCATTGAGTTAAATCTTTAACTCTTTAGCACACTTTGTTAGCAGAATTTTTCATGAACCTCTGGGTGGATTTTAATTAAACATCTACATCTGTTTACCTTTTAGAGTTGACCCAATTCAAAAATGACAATGACAGCCACAGAGTTTATTATTCAGCCATGCAGTTGCAATGGCTGAATGCATTGCAAAGAGATTTTGCAATGTCACATGAGAATGAGCGTAATATCATTATCAATGCAAAATGCATTCCTTTGATCAATGAGAGACCTAGTTGTTGTTCTGAGTAGAACTCATCTGCTCTCTGTTTGGTTCCCCGCTGCTTGAATGAAAATGTTGCCCATTGCATAAAAACATTGCACAAACTTCACAGGCCGCAACTTGGTGTTCTGAACACAGAGATCACTTTCAGTCAGTGGACGAACTGTCAAAAAAGCAATTTCATGTCACCAAAACGTCCAACTTTCTTGAGAAATGTTTCACCCTTTCCTTCTGTCAAAATAGCAAGTCAAAGAAGAAAAAAAAATCCAAATGTGACAGGAGTAGTGCTCACAGGGAGAAGCASGTTTTATGGCACAGCATGTCAAACAGTTGCTCTTTAAAATCCAACCCATATAATAATTTCTGTCCACGCTGTTCCTTCCTTGATCTAAAAAACTACAGATTTGGCATCTGGAGTGACTTGAAACACCCACAGAGCTGTTGTTGGAGGCAAGTCATTTCACCGCTCGGCCTCTCAGACAAACAGCCATTACTGTTCTCTCAAACAGCCTCCACTTAACACAGGAGTGTGTGGGGACGGTGTGAAAAAGCCGTTAACAATCTGTCGCACTAGCAAAGGAGGTGCAAGAAAATTGGTTTTAAAATAGTCCGAGGTGCTGGCAGCAGAGGGGTTGGAGATGAGAAATCATGATGCTTCGGATGTAAAAAAAAAAAAAAAGGATTATGTAAGGGAGCAAAATATAGATGCAGACAACTGTGCATCTGTAGGGGATCAGTATGGGATTTAATCTTTAAGTTATTAGTCTTGGTAAATAAGCAGCATATTAGATTTAATGCATAGGAATGCAGATCACTCACACTCTATGCCAGAGTTTTGAAGGCTTTTTAAAGCTAAAAGAAGCAAAACACTTACTAAGAGCTTAAAAACTTAAAAAAAGTTGGTTGAAAATAGCAAAATGATCTAAAATGATCAAAAAGTAGAAAAACCTGAAAGTTAGACATACTGTAGCAAGCTAGGTAAAAGCAACATGTATAAAAGCTGGATACAAGTAGCAGAATGGTAGCTAAAGGTAGCAAAAATTAAGTTAAACTATCTAAAACGGAGCTTAAAGATGATAAAAAGTCTAGTCAAAAGTAGATGAAATGCAGCTGTTTTGAATTAAATGAAAGCTGCATTTTTTTCTCAGAACGAAATGATTTTCTGTGTGAATTCTCTTTCTAATCACAATAAAAATGACAAGTTTTTTATTCTAAATCACAGGTGGTTATTTTACTGAACAAATATCTGAGACTGTTGTGAAGAACAAAACCAGTTTAGCTAAGCTCAGTTCTGCCAAACGTAAATATGATTTGTGTTGAGTAGACATTACAACTGGGCAATAAAAATCTGAAGCACTCCTAGTAAAAATGTAAAGTTTGCATTCATATTTAACATAAACAATGAACTTTTTACGTCATGGGTCTTGTTCAATAGGGATGATCGATTGAGAGATTGATCAGTGAATCAGCATCCTCGTCTGCAGTGACGACAATGTTGCTCTGGTCTGTCGTGGTGAAAAATGTAAAGCTGTTGATTTACTGTCTGTGGTCATGAAGAATGGATCATGACTTCCAGTTACGGTAGCTGAATTTAATCTTAGAAACAAAAATAAATCATCCATCATCCTGCAGGAGTTTAGAGAGCTGCTGCTTCTCCTCGTAGTCTGATTTCACTCCTTGGAGGCTTTCGGGGCATGTCTCACTGGGAGGATACCCTGAGGGACACCAGAACTCACTAGAGGGATTAAAAATCTGTTCTGGCCTGGGACACCTTGGGATCCCCAAAGAGGAGCGGAAGGGTGCTGCTGGATGAGGTACAGTATGTCTGGTTTTTCTCATGGACCTGCTGCCTCTGACCCAACCACAGATATGAGGCAGAAATTAGATAGATGGACAAAAACTTTTACAAAAAAAAAAAAAAAAAAAAAAAAATAT